TAGTCACTTAATGCCCCTGGGAGCAGTTTCTTTGTAAGAAGAATTATGGTAATACCTATTTCCCACTGGTATTGTGAGGGTCAAATGAGACAATCAACAAGCTTCTCAGCTCTATCAGACCTAACCAATCCCTTTTACAAGAAATATTTTGAAACATACCATTCTCTATTCTTAAATGAAAGTCACAGACCACTAACTGTAACCCCAGTATCTAAACTGGTCCAGTTAGAAGCTGCAGTCCCCTCCTTCCCTTTGGCACTGGGTGTAGACATATTACTAAGTTTTGCCAATGCGATGTCAGAGAAATGACATGCACAGCTTCAAGTTCATGTTTCTTGTTCAACTAATTGTTTGTACTCCTTTTCCACCTTACCTATTTTCATGGGCCAGAATGTGGATGTGATAGTGCACTCAACTTTTGACCATAGAGATTAGGACCATACCCTGGGGGTTCATATAACAATAAAACAGAAAAAACTTGGGAGTCTAAATGATTTTGTGGGGCAAAGCCTCCTCCCACCCTGGATCATTGGCCCACCTTTGGTCAGGTATAGAATAAAGTGATAGGTAAACTCCTATCTTATATGACTCCCTGTAATATGGAGTCTCCTTGTTACAGTTAATTGTAGCCTATAACATAATTAATATATCTGACTACATTAATAATTTCAAAATACTGTAACTATACTATAAAAGAGAAATAAAATATATTTATCATAAAGTAAAAATGCATTTCTATATGTGTATGCTTGAGAACAACTAATTTGAAGACATAATCAGTAAGATAAATGCCAGTCATCCCTATCATGAATAAATAAGTTTGGATAAAGTCAATCTGTACAGGATCTATAGAAAAATGTACCAACAGGAAGTAGTGGTGGACATAAGAACAGAAACTACTTTTTTTGTTTTTACTTATAACTTTATTGTAGACATACTTCATTCCTTCTTTTTTGAAAAAAGATTTTATTTATTTGAGAGAGAGAGAGCAAGACAGAGCATGAGTGGGGGTGGCAGAGAGAGAGGGAAAAGCAGACTCCCTGTTAAGCAAGGAGCCCAATACAGTGATCCACCCCAGGACGTAGGGATCCATGACCTGAGCTAAAGGCAGACGCTTAACTGACTGAGCCGCCCAGGGACCCCACACTTCATTCATTCTTATATAATTCTTTTTAATTTAAATATCTGAGTTCTCTTCTAGACTGTAGGAGAGTATATGCATTTTTAAAAATTTATTTATATTTTAGGTATTTAACATACAGTACAATATTGGTTTCAGAAGTAGAATTCAGTGATTCCTCACTTACATATAACCCCCAGTGCTCATCATAACAAGTGTCCTCCTAACACCCTTCACCCACCTCCCTGCATCAACCTTTAGTTTGTTCTCTATCATTAAGAGTCTTCTATTGCTTGATTCCTTCTCTCCTTTTTTTCTTTTCCCCTTCCCATATGTTTGTCTGTTTTCTTAAATTCCACCTATGAGTGAGATCATATAGTATTTGTCTCTGATTTACTTATCTCACTTAGCATAATATACTCTAGCTCCATCCATGTCATTGTAAATGACAAGATTTCATTATTTTTGATGCCTGAGTAATATTCCTGTGTGTGTGTGTGTGTGTGTGTGTGTGTGTGTGTGTGTGTGTATGCATGCCACATCTTCTTTATTCATTCATCAGCTAATGGACATTTGGGCTCCTCCATAGTTTGGCTATTGTTGATAATGCTGCCATAAACATTAGGGTGCATGTATTTTTGTATCCTTTGGGTAAATACCTAGTAGTGCAATTGCTGGATGGTAGGGTAGTTTTATTTTTAACATTTTGAGGAACCTCCATACTGTTCTCCAAAGTGGCTCCACCAACTTGTATTCCCAACAACAGAAGAAATAACAGGTGTTGGCAAGGGTGTGAAACTACTTTTAAGCTAAGTAGTAAGAGATAAGACATTTTATATCATGAAAGAAAAGAAATCTTAAAGAGAGATAATATTCTAAAATAAATTATAGATTGCCCAAGCATAGAAAATGGGAAGTATTATATTCTCCCAAATGAGTTTGGGAAAATAATTCTCTATAGGGGAAATAATTCTCTGTGTGCTATGACATGAGATGACCTAGTAACAAAATATCACAGAAATCCCACAACACATCAGGGCCACATTCAGTCTCTAGTACTTGAAAATAACGTGGCCAAAACTTTTAATATGTGAGGAAGAATGTCTCTTTTTTAAGATTTCATTTGTTTATTTAGAGAGACAGAGAAAGAGAGAGTGAAAGCAAGAAGAGGGGCAGACGGAGAGAGAGAATCTCAAGCAGACTCTGTGTTGAGTGTGGAGGCTGATGGGGGGGCTCTACCTCACCACCCTGAGATCATGACCTGAGCTGAAATCAAGAGTTGGACACTCAATTGACTGAGCCACCCAGGTGCCCCGAAGAAGACTGTCTTGATAATAAATTAGAAAAAGAAGCAATTAATATTTATATTATACTTATGTAATGAAGAATTTTAAGGTAGACTTTGGGGACATATCAGAGTAAGATTGGTAAACAATAGAAATAATTTTCTAAAAGTAATTTCCGTATGCAATATCTGTAGCAGATTTCTTAGTATTAATTCTAAAGTGTTAACACATATATAAAGGGTAGCAATACTATGAAATATTTCTAAATGTTTATTTTTTGAAATTCAAAGAGAACAATACATTTCATTTATCTGTCAATTCAGTAATATTTGATTTTAAGACTGTTAAAAGGCATCTCAAATTTCCTGTTTCTGATTTTTAAATGTTTTCCATGGTACCTCAGTAACTGCACTTCTACTCTTTATGGTTAAGTACATAGCTAAATATGTTACAATATGTTGAGTAGAAGATAAGCCTTCTAAATTCCTCGGCTTTTTGTCTAACATGTTATATTTCAGTATTACTTTGTATTAAATCACTATACAATTATGGTTGACCCTTGAACAACACAGGTTTGAACTTCACAGGTCTCCTGACGCACAGATTTTTTACAATACAGTATTGTATATGCATATTCTCTTATGATTTTAACATTTCCTTTCCTTTAGCTTACTTTATTGTAAGAATACAGCATATAATACATATAACATACAAAATATATGTTAATTGATTGCTTATGTTTTTATTATGCTTTCAGTTGACAACATGTTATTAGTAGTTAAATTTAAGGGAGCCAAATGTTATACATAGGTTTTTGACTGTAGCGGTCAGTGCTCCAACCCCGTGTTGTTCAAGGGTCAACTGTATATTTGTAGTCTGTTGAGTCTAGCTGCACATTCAAAAGTCATGCCAAATGCTGAAGAGTTTTCGTTATATAGTTTTGTTCCATGCATTGCAAGATAGCTAGTTTCCTTAGCATTGCCCAACAAAAAGCCCTCTATTCCTCCAAACTACTGTAGCCCAAGACACTTGTACAAATTCCCAACACACTCCAAGACACATAGGGCAGTGTCTCTCAAATAATATTTAAAGGACCAGTTTTGCCCCCAGTATGCCCCAGATCTATACTTCTATACAATTAAAAATAAGTTACTAGGAAAAAAATGAAATAAAAATAAATATAAAATATAAATTCTATTTTATCATTATATTCAACAGACAAAAGTGACTCTGTCAAATTGCTATACAACTTTCTAAATGGTTCCTGTCATATTTTGCTCTTGTCTCATTGCAGACCAATAATAAATAATAAATAGTTCACAGGCAACTTCACACTTTAAATGGTACTGTCCTAGAGACAGTAGTACCATGTTCATTGAGAATCACTGGCAAAAATAAAGCAATATATAGAAATGTTAGTCATTATTACCTGTATCATTTTTGATTCTAATATCCTTTAGCAGAGACTAAAATAAACAATTCCACCCACATTAATAATCCTGCACTCTCTCACATGTTCCTGTCTAAATGGTCACACATAGACACAAGTACTATTTCGTTTCTTTGAAAAAGGCAACCTTGTCTTCTATGATACAGGTGCAACATTATTTAGCCGGTGAAAAATACAGATTACTTTTACAAGTCAAAAAGCAAAAGTGTAAAACAAAATCAGATTTTTTAAAAGGACTCATGATAAAAATAAATAATACAAAAATGAAATGACTCATAATATATACATACTCAGAATACAAAAATGATGCTTACCTCATTGCCTGTTCATCTATAGGTCTGTGACCAACATTTTTTTCTCTTCTGTCGGGTTACACTCAACCTTCCCTGGGTCTGCCCTGCACCAACCCCCCCATTCAATGCAGGAAAAACTAGAGGGACAGGCTTTCCTTTCAATCACAATTATTTTTCTTATGACATCAATATATTATTTGTCTAAAAGAATTTAATTTAACCATTGGGCCTTTCTCTTTTTAAGTAGTGTCCTATTAAGAATACTGTCACTTGAGGAGAATGTTCTTCCTATTCCAATCATAGTTTTGAAAATAAGTAGTTAAACATCTCCCTGTATACAATGTACAGAATGATGTGTTAAATTTTAAACTTCTTTTAAAATGCTATTGACTTTACAAATTTTATTTAAAAGATGTTAGGTTTAGATTGATATAAATGGCTATTATTCTCAACTTCAAGGTAAAGTTCATATTAAACTGTGGATTTTAATTATTTAAATTTTCCATGAGATCACACACATTTCAATAATATGGTACACAAAAAATATTTTAGTATATGAGAGTATGTATGTGAAATACAATGTAAATAAAAGCAATCGCTAACTTGTTAACTTTAAATTTTTCATCGTTCTAATTTCTGATAATTCTGTAACAGTGAAATAAGTAATCATAAATATTAAATTTCTAGTGTCAACCTAAAAAAGGAAACATATACTCAACCAATGTCTAGGAGAAAAAAACTCATAATATGTCATTTTGCTTTTAAATATTAATTCAATTTTCTTTTAAAAATAACTTTAATCAAATGGAATTTGAAGTCTGCATATTTTATATAATGAAACATGATCTTACCCTTTTCTTGGCTACCACAGCAACTTTGCCATCTGCTTTGGATTTATCTGTAAGATAATAAAGTATGGCTGTTTCAAAAAAAAATGCCTACACTCCTGTTTGAGTAAGTGCAACGTTATACAATCAGAATTTTCTACCTTCTCATACTGTAATATGTGTTTTTAATGGTTCTTTTGATCAAAATGCTAACAAACTCAACTTTCCAGAGTTAAGTAGAACAAAATAATCCAAAAGTAATAGCATTAGGGATTCATGTACTTATTTGACAAACCTCCTCCCTTAAGTCTAATTGGTTGGACATTCTCGAGTTAGCATCTAGTGTATCCTATTTTAGGTTCTGGTCAGCTTATGTACTCTGAAGTATATAAAATCTGGAATGAAATCCCAGTGACCTCTACTTGAACATCTCCTCCATGCCAGACATGGGATAAAGACTTTACATAGATAGTATCTTATTTAAACTTCATTGATAATCTTGCAAAGTATGTAGTCCATCCCCATTTCACAGCAGAGAAAATTGAGACTAAGTACCATGCCTGAGGCCATGCAGTGGGGCCAGACCCATCTGTTGGCAAGTCTCTTATCTTTATGTCTGCTGCCTCCATGTGGGACCCATAAGCAACACAACAAAAAAGAGGACTAGAACCAAATAGAATATAGAAAACTATATTAAGATATTATTTTGATGTATGCAAAATAGTATGTGAATTAATAAAAATTATTGGCAATAATAATTAATAATTGGATTTTTGTAGGTTCAATATAGAATTCCAACTAAATTAATTATACATAAATATTTACTCATACATTTGTTTTATTAACCTTAATATTATGGTAATTGAAAACAATTAGAGCTATGGACATTAATATTATGGTTTTAGGGTTACATTTAATGTTAAAGAAAAACACATAGAAATTAAATTTATCAATATAGGACTGTAATTCCCAATGAACATATAAAACTAATAAAAAGAATAAATATCCATGAATATAAGAGTAAATAAATGCTTCCTATCTAAAAGCAAATATTGCAGTAAGAAACAAACTATTGGCATAAAACAGAGAAATTCAGAGAAGCAGGTTGTTACATTTATACCTATAATTAGCTGGCCACATGTAAACTGCCCTCTTTCCTATGTTCGGCTGCATGCTTGGAATAATCCCTTCTGGAATACCCTTTTTCTCCCCACTTATGAATGCACAAGACGATCCACCATCATTGAGAATTCCTCCATCTAAGAGAAATAATCACCTCTGTTGCAAAACCACAGTCATCCCAGGAAACAGGACTTTCTTCCCTGTATTATGGTTACTTCTGTACACGTCTAAGCACTCTGTAAGACTAGAATGTGCCTTAAAGGCAGGGACCACATTTTATAGGCAGTAGGTGCTCAATATTTTTTTATAATTAACAAATGAACATGTATTTTATTCAAAATCTTATATGGATCTGAAATATACATTTCCCTGAACAAATGAATATTATTTATTAGTTAAAATACATATGTTTACATGGTATAAGTTACTATACTAGACAGTATAAGATATAAAATACTGTATATGTTCTCAGACCTTTAGTTTCTTTATTGATAAACCAGAAGTAATAATTTATTATCTTACTGTTATTTTGTGAGATTCAAATAATAGAATTTATATAAATTCCTAAAACAATGTCTGGTGATAATAAATTATCAACAATGTTCTCTTTCAGCTAATAAAGACATTCTGGGGTTCGCACGCGTGCGTGCGTATGTATGTGTGTATGTGAGTGAGAGAGAAAGAGGGATCTAACTTTTGGAATACTAGCAAAAATAGTTTAGTGATGATACATTTTACCACTGTATCATCTTAAGTGATTCTATCATTCTCCCATTTAAATAATTTGTTTTAAGGGTACCTGGGTGGCTCAGTGGGTTAAGTCTCTGCCTTCGGCCCGGGTCATGATCTCAGGGTTCTGGGATTGGCCCCACATCAGGCTCTCTGCTCAGCAGGGAGCCTGCTTCCACTTCTCTCTCTCTGCCTGCCTCTCTGCCTACTTGTGATCTCTGTCCGTCAAATAAATAAATAAAATCTTTAAAAAAATAATAATTTGTTTTAGTCTTTTAAGCATAGTTGGAAATAAATTAATGAGTAATGATAAAAGAGCAAAGATTATTGAAATTCCATAATTTATTTCAAATTTATAAAAGGGCCCTGATGATAATTATAATAGAATAAAATGTCATATCTAAAATTTTTTTCTCCTTTCTCTTTTGAAGATCACTAATAACAAAAGTCATGATGAAATATCAACTTGTACATATAGTTAAAACTGCACAAAAAGGAAACTAAAAAACTAAAATTGGGTCCAATGGACCCTGATCATATACTGAGAGTTAACAAAAAAAAATTATCAATTTCCTATGTCTCTCCTCAACATATATGCCATTCTTATGTAAAATTTCCAGCAGGGAGACAATTGCAAACAGAAATACCCAAACTGCTGTTCCAGGAACTTTTTTTTTTTTTTTTTAAGATTTTAAAAATATATTTGTCAGAGAGAGAGAGAGAGCACAAGTAGGGGAGCGGCAGGCAGAGAGAGAAGGAAAAAGAAGCAGGCTTCCCACTGAGCAAGGAACCCTATGTGGGACTCGATTCTAGGATGCTGGGATCATGACCTGAGCCAAAGGCAGACACTTAACCGACTGAGTCACCCAGGCGTCCAAAAGCCTTCTTTTTCTTTTTTTTTTTTTAAGATTTTTTTAGGAACTTTTTATGTTGAAAGGTTACACAACCATCTCCCAGTGCAACACAGAAGTGTTTTGGGAAGTATCAACAACCACTCTGATTTTCAAAGGGATTTGCCAAAGGGAGAAAGTCTGATGTAATGCTGAGAAACTTTACAATCATTAGCAGTTTTTCTATTAATAACAGTAAGTCCATGTTCAACTTCAGCAACATTAAACACATTCTAAGAGCCAAATTTTCCCTAGTGAGAAAGGTTTAATTTCCTCCCTTCAGAAATCTCTGCATGTAGGGACCCTCACACAGAGTGAAAAGCAGTTAACAGGAAATGTAGATCTGGATAATTAAAAGGGCCTTTACTCCATTTTTGGGCTATAGCCACATCATAGTTTTAAAGTGCAAAAAAGGAGCTGCAGGTAAAAAATGAAAATGTTCCAAGTCAGTAGAGATGGTTATGCCTCATGACTCATAACAGATGTTAAAATTTTTTTATTTACAAGCATATTAGGGAGGAGTACAAATATGAACACAAATCAATGGTTCCTTTTTAAAATATAAATTTTTAAAGCCTGTCCATTCATGGCCTCAGAAAATCTGTCAGTCTATGTTTCTTTAAAGATGACAGCTGAAAGAAAGCATTTTCTTAAAAAGGTAGAGGACAGTCCAGTTGCTTATCTGGCATGTAAAGAGCTTGGAAGTCACACTCCATCCTCACAACAAGTAAAAAGCTAAACAAATTGAAAATCAATAACTCTTCTTAGATTCCCTTAGAGAAGTGAGGTCACAGAGCAAACCACTGCCCCCAAATTTGGAGACAGGCGAATAGAAAGAATCACAACTTAATGGAGCAGAAACCTCCACAGGAACTAGTGCTGGGGTAGGAACTCATGAAGTATAATTGATGAATTGCTGGAGCCTCAATGTGAACAAGCTGAGAGATAGAAATTCTAGGGGGACCCAGTCATGCAGAAGGGAAGCACACTTCTGTGAGTTTACCTACAGGAGTTCTATCAGGTTCTCAGAGTGAAGACTGGAGAAAAATACCTTTGTGCTTCCTCAGTGGGGAAAAAAAAAGGAACCTTTTTGAAATATGCTAGGGCATTCAGTTCTTAGCAGTTTGCCCTCAAGAGAAACTGTTTTACCAGAGCCTAACCTATTGTGTTTTTTTTCAGAGCCTAACTAATTAGCGGGAAGGAAACAAATCTAGCCTGCTGTAGTCTTCCATGTGGGGGAAGGGAACTATCCAACTCTAGCTCCCCTTTAACTGTCATGTGCCATGTAAGGGGGTAAAAAAGGTGAGAAGCACTTGCGCAGTTCAAAGTCCAGGACTGAGACCTAATCGTAGAACTGTAGACTGCCTGCCCCAGCCCCACATGCCTCACCACTACACTCGTAAAGGCCTATGTACCACAGTTTCTTTCACCTGGTACATCATGTTTGCCCTTCTGCAAATAAATAAATAAATAAATATAAAAAAAATATATATATATACACAAAACAAGGCATACTAAAAGGCAAAAAGCAATTTGAAGTGACAGAGCAAGCATCAAACATCAAAAACAGACCCATATATGTCCTAGATGTTGGAATGATCAGACTGAGTATATTGAACATAGTCGTTTTAAATTCAAAGTCTCCAGTGTTAGAGTAGGGAACATTCAAGAACAAATGGGTACTGTAAGCAGAGAGATGGAAATCCTTTTTTTTTTTTAAAGACTTTATTTATTTATTTGAGAGAGAGAGAGAGCATGAGCATCACTGGGGGGCAGGGGCGGAGAGAAAGGGAGAAGCAGACTCCCTGCTGAATAGGGAGCCTGATGCAGGGTTGGAACCTGAGCCAAGGGCAGAAGCTTAACCTACTGCGCCACTCAGGCACCCCAAAGAGATAGAAATTCCAAGAAATAATAATTAAAAAAGAAATGCCAGAGATGAAAAATGCTATAACAAAAATGAAGAATACCTTTCATAGTTTCATTGGTAGGACATAGCTGAGGTAACAATCTGTGTGTTTGATGATATATAAAATATAAACTTCTAAAACTGGAAGCACAGAGAAAAAAGACTGGGAAAAAAAGAACAGGATATTCAAGATCTATGGGAAAACCCCAGAAGTATAATATATGTGTAATTGGAATACAAGAAGGAAAAGAAATAGAAAGGAACAGGAGAAATACCTGAAGCAATAATGACAGAGAACTTCCCCCAAATGAGTGTCAGACACCAAATCAAGATCCAGTAAGCTCAGAGAACAATAAGCAGAATAAAAGCTAAAGATAGAAAACCAAAGATAAAGAAAAATTCTTGAAAGAAGCCTGGTGGTAGG